ATTCAATACTAGTCACCCAACAATTCGATCACATAAATAAGCTCTAAACAGCCTCCTAACCCAATTCAACTAACTACTCATGCATTGGAAATATAATGAAAAGCATAATATAAAAGTGCATAAATAAAATTAAAGACTAGAACTTTGAATTTAACTAAAGTAGAAGATGTAGAAAAATATCACCCGAATAGATGAGAAGCAATCCATTGAAGTGCAAGAGGAAAGCTTGAATCTTGGAGGATAAGTCTCTACAAATCTACACTACAATCTAGAGAAGAAATGCAAAAACCCTAACTAAAATGTAAAAACTATCCAGGGGCGGATCCAGGAATCTGAGATGCCCTGGGCTGAATAGGAATTATACTAAGCTTAAATATTAGAGGGGTGGGCTAAATGTGAAAAACGATAAAATTTACATTAAAAAATTGAAAATTTTCTAAGTTGCCCTGGGTTTCAACCTATCATAGCCCGTCCATGTATCCTCCCCTGGAACTATCCTAATGTGACTTCTCTAATGGCATCCCCACAAATCTGATCTGCAGTTGATACTCCCTCCGTTTCACAAAGAAAGTCACGGTTTGACTTCTCTAGGATTAAGGAAATAAACTGACTTTAACGTAGAAAACACTGTTTAGACACTGTTTGGCACTGTTTAGACACTGTTTTGATGTAGAATTCTTTGTCAAATAAGGAAATAAGGGAAGTGTGACTTTGTTTTTGAAACATTCAAAAAAAGGAAAGTGTGACTTTGTGAAAGGGGGAGTATTTAAAGTGTCAAATTCGGCCTGGGTAGAAGGCTTAAACTTAAAACATAGGAGCAGTGGGGGCATTTTGGTGTTTTCGCTACTTAAAATCAGATTAGGGCTCCAGCCCATTCTTTTCCTTCGCGTCGCAGAACCGCAGCAGCCAGGTCTTCAACGCAGCGGCTCTTTCAGCTCCAGGTCGAGGGACGCCAGAGAGGATCGGAAGTACGGCGGACGACGATGGAGGTGCGCAACTTCTTCTTCTTCGTTCTTCTTCTCTCTCGGTCGTCCGCTGCTGCAAACAATTCGACGGCCCCGGCGTGTTGATAGGGACGGCGAGAGACGGTGGTGATGGCTTGGACTCCGGCGATTAGGACTGCATCAGTGGCTAGGGCGGTGAAAGAGTTCCCCTGACTTTGGGATTTCCGGCAAGTCTGGTTTGATTGCTGCTTGGTTGCTGTTCTTCGCTGGTTGGGAGTGGATGGTTCACTGGTTTGACCAGGTCAACTCTGATTGACTGGTCAACTCTTGGCTTGGCACGGGTTTGAGTGGATGCTCCTAAAACTCCCTAAAAGTCCAAAAATCTAATAAAGCATACAAACCCGATTAGTAGCACCCGTAAATCAAATAAAACCGAGACTTGAACAAATTCAATCAAAATTAACCCGAAAGCCAATCAAATATTGGATAAAATGAAAGAATAAAATATATAAATTGAGTATTATCACACATCACCTTGTAGGCATGCATCAAACCTCAAGTTTTGACCAACAACCACTACAAAAAAAATCGTATTAGGCAGGGATTTTGGCTCAGAAAAACCCTCATTAGTCCGAGTCTAACGGGTTTGGCACGGACATAGGCAGGGTTCCGGAATGCGCGACACTACAGCCCTTCCAAATGCGTAGGATCGGATTAGATCTTCCGTGCCAACCTTTGTCTCAGCGTTTGGCACTGATTAACCGAGACAACCACGGATGGTGTCACCAGTGAATTTGTCTCGAATTATTCCCTGCGAACTTAATTCCGAGCCAAAGGTAGCCGTTCATCATTTGAATTTGAAGAGAGATATGGATGGGAATTCGTCCGAGCCAAATATAAAAAAATAAATTAAAAAAAAATACTTGCCATACTGTGTACGGCAAGTATTTTTTTTAACATCAGAAAACATATACAAACCACATTCAAAAATAATAAAACCATTCCAAATTAGAATTAGCATTAAAATACGGAGAAGCATGCAAAATACTCCGTATCATCTAGCATCCAAATGCATTACAGACATCCCAAAAACATGGTTAAACATCCTACCATCAAACCATAATGTTTAAGCAAAAATATAATGTTTAAGCAAAAACATACACATATTACATACAAAGTTAGAACTTCAAACAACAGGATTCCCATCCAAGTCAGCAAACAATTCCTCCATTGCTATGTCAGTTGAATCTCCTCCAAGTTGGCCATTAGAAGTGTTCGGGTTCGGGGTGCTAAAGCTGAAGGCAGGCAGCGGTATGGATGGATTGGAGCGCCGCAAATTTTCCATATAAGACATCACAACCCCAGTCAGGTTCGCCATTTGAGACTGAAATTGTTGTTCATATCGCCGCCGCCACTGCTCTTGGGCTGCCGCCTGTTCAGCAAAGCGATCATTCTCCTTTCAAGATTAGTCACATCATCTTTCATGACCGCTGCTATGGATTCATAATCAGCCTACGTGTCCATTTTTTTTGTTTGTTTTTTTTTTTACGAGAAATAATATCAGTAGCAAAAAGAAACAACAAGAATTATAAACGCAAGACAGGGAAACCAAAGAGATCAGCATAGTATCTTTTCTTAACGTCGTCGGGTAATTGAGCCTACGTGTCCATAATACTTGAGATTAATTTAAAGGGATTAATAGTACTACGCATATCAATAGATGTGCATCTCCTTTTAAGGGAGCTCATCAACTAAAAACTTCAAGTTAAGCGTGCTTGCACAGAAGTAGTCTAAGGATGGATGATCCTCTAGGAAGTTTCTCAGGGCGCGCATGAGTGAGGACAAAGTGTGCAGTAAAGGCTCATGATGGTTTGTGAGGACAATACTAGAGGTTTGTAGTAGCTACCTCGGGCCCTACGGGCAGGGTATTACACTATAAGTTGTCATCCTCATCAGGAGCAGCTCAACGCCCTCATTCCCATTTCAAGACCGGTCTCATCTCTATTCACTTAAATGATGACCGCTCCTTCGGATTCATGATCGGCCAACGAGCCGTCACCTTCATTAGGATTGTCTCAACGCCATCATTCTAATTTCAAGACCATTCACATCCTCCTTCATTTGGATGATGACCGCTGCTTCGGATTCATCACGATCGGACTTAACGTCATTGTCCCGATCGTATGATCAGGCTCGCCCACTGTCCACACGGGTGGCAAATATTTCGTCATCGCAAGCTTGATCTCAACCACTCCTTTAGCAAATGGCAGACTGTTGTGGAACTCTTATGTCACGCCCCAGACCCGCCGACAACGTCGACAACTGCCGTATAACCCATTAAGGGCAACTGCAGTCCACCCTTACCGAATTATACAAGGCGTCACGTATATCATACACACTAAGTATCCCATAAAACTAAAATAAATTAAAAACATTTCATCATTATGCAGCGGAAAATGGTAGTTAAAACAATAATTAGACACACAGGGCATAATGCAGGCATGCAGGCCCAATACAAGAGTAAAATAAAATTATTATTTATCCATGAGCATTTTTAAGAGAAGTTAAAACGTAATGGGGAAGCACGGATCAAAGTCTTCACGCGAGTACACTCTGCAAGAGTAAAGGTGGCAAGAACAAGCTTCAACCTCAAAATATTAGTGAGAGCCCCCGAAGGGGTCAATATAACTGGTACTGGTGAGGGAAGGGGACACTATAAAATATATAACGAGCATTTATACATAGGACCCTTAAAATATGATGATACCATATATTCGGTTCTTAGGCTATCTTTAATTTCAGCAAAAACCCTTTATTTACCAGCCCGTAGACCAAATTTAATTTATTCAATCCGTAGGCCAAAAATGATTTATTCAGCCCATAGGTCCAAAATGATTTATTCAGCCCGTAGGGCCAAAATGATTTATGCAACCCGGAGGTCAAATATTATTTCTACAACCAGGAGGTCAAATATGATTTGTATAACTCGAAGGTCAAATATGATTTGTACAACCCAAAGGTCAAATATTTGTTTAATTCAGCCTCTATAGGTCGCCTAATCCTATACAAGTGTTGTCATGTAAAACCTGGGGTTTTAGACCACTTGCCCCTGTCCGCCAATACCAAATCCCGTGGGAAGGTAAGGCCACTCGGGGACCTATGTGCTACCGCCTCCAGAACTTCGTAAGGTTTCCTGGTTCGGTATACACCCTTTGTGTGATCACACCACGATTCCAAAACAACTTAACTACTCCCTTTTAGCCCAAGTTTACTACTAAGGGAGTGGAGGACTCATGTTGGGATAATGGATCGGGTCTAAGAATATGACCCATTACACCCGACCTTTATCCCGATCAAGCTCAGAACACAATCCGACTTGCAGAAACCAGTTCAGGATTATTTGCTTATTAGTTGGGCTAGCTGGTCCATTAGCGTCAATAATAGTTTTTAGATTGGGCCAAGCCCATGTAGACTTTTATTATTGGATTTGTCATACAATCCTCATGTAATTCTAAGCTTTTTCACTATACTGAATTGCTGAAACTTTTTATACCCAAGCTATTTTTCTACCAACATCAACTTTTGCTAAAAAAGCTTGTTTGAAGAATTTCCAAAAAGTTTCTGTAGAGTTTTCGAAATAGAAACATACTTTTTACTGAGAGTTTCCGTGCTGCACAGATACTTCCTATTAATATAGATACATGTATTATGTGGGATTAGACAGGAATATCAAGTTTACAAACCTTAATGTTTTATATCATTAGGGATATAAAATAATAAATCTATCTATAATAATATGAAATGAGGCGGTACTGTGAAGATTGAAGATTACAAACATTGTCATACGTTACGCTACGTATATAAAAGTTTTAGAACTGTTGGGCTGTTGCCTCTAACATACTTTGACTTGGCTAATTAAGCAACTTTAATTTGGAAGGATAGTATGAGCGTTGACCAAACAGTCTCGGAAGGGTAGTGTGAAGTTTGACCAAGCAAGCACATGTCGGCGGTTCAATAAATTGGGTGGCCAGGTCTCACCGGTGTAAAACAAATGCACGCGGCCACACACAACTCATCATTCATCGCTTACTTATTATATATACCCTACCCGACGCCTTTCCATTCTTATCGATCAACCATTTAACGACTCACCCTTTCTAGCATATTATTCATTATAAATATTACTCCTTTCTTCTTTTAAGCAAATCATTTTATACTCCCAACCCCATCAACTCAAAAGCTTATAAGCTAGCTAAGCTTCTTCTGTTATATTCCAATGGAGTTTCTGGTAGGCAAATCCATCCTCATCACCGGCACAACTGGCTTCCTCGCCAAAGGTTCGGTTCGCTCCGATCCTCGCCTCATTTTTCTGAAACTAAATGTGTGCATAGAAATATATCCATCTCTTACATGCTTTTTAATTTCTGTCAACTTAATAACATATAATGTAATTGCAGTGCTGGTAGAGAAGATCCTTCGCGTTCAACCGGACGTAAAAAAGCTCTACCTTCTCATCAGAGCCAATGATTCCGTATCTGCTATCAAAAGATTCAATACTGAGGTATATATTTATATGTGTGTATATATATGAAGTATATATATGTGTGTATGAATGAACCATTATCATATCAAAATTTCTTAGCATATAAGTCCATGTACATGTCCACTTTTGTCTGTGTCAGAGACAACTTTTATCGCTTGTAAGATATATTGCATATGGCATCAGGGGTGTTTGGAACTGATTTTACTTCTGCAGAATCAGAATCAGTTTTTCAGAAGCTGGTCTCCCTCAGGTTCTAAAAATCTGATTCTATGAGTAAATTAGAGTACCAAAATCACTTCTCCATTTTCACCCAAACACTGCAACTTCTATTTCTGCTCCCTGAAGGAATAGAAACAGTTTTAAGAATCAGATCTAAACACCCCTCAATAATGTTTCCCCAAATTCTATTGGTATCACCGGCAATTTATCTTGAAAAACGATCAAATTTGTTTCTTACGCAAACGAAATTAAGCGTGTACACGAAGGTTTAAACATGGGGTGTGTCAATAACAATTCTTTTTATTATATTTTTTTCCATTACCTTTATTTATACTTATCATTACCTTTATTTATACTTCTCATATTAAAGTTATAACTTTACACAGTTTTTCCCACCCTAGAAAGTGCTTATTCAATTGCTCCAACAAAAATATTGTTTGGGGAGAAGGAGCCCATAAAGTGCAAATGCTATTAATTAAAGTATCTGTCTTTTAGTCAAGCTCACAATGCATGCACGATGTTTGTGTTATTGTGTATAAGGCACGCATTTAATTAGGAAAATTACTATGTCAATTTTAAATTTGTCTCCCTTCCTCCGATGCTATATATGTTTACATATGCATTTCAGCTCATTTTGCTTCACATGATAATTTCTAATATTATTAATTTTAGTGTTTTGTTTGAGTTCTTTAACTTACCATAATCGCATGTTAGTTTAACCCTCCCGTTATTCAGATTTTATCTAAAAACAAAGGACTTAGGCACTACTAAAAACGGTAGGGTTTGATTGAGTTCTTTAAGTTACCATAATGGCATAATCGTATGTTAGTCTAACTACAAAGGACTTTAACATTCATTTTCACTACTAAAAACAAAGTACATAGACACTGATTGACATAGAACTTTATCAGAGATTTTGGCATAGATTTGCCAAAAATCCACTAGTCCATACGTGCCAATTTTGTTACAAAATATATAACAAAGCATACTTTGATTCGTGCCATGTTCTGTCCATACGTGGCAATTTTGTTGATTTTGTAGTGTTTTATACGGAGTAATAATTTTTACATTTTCAAGTTGTTGTTTCGGATTGGTGGTAGCCAAACAAATTTATTTCAACCCCCTTCAAACAATAACTTCTAATGTAGACAATAACCCTATGAAACATAGCCTATTAGTTAGTCTACATTATGAAACTTCAATTCCTTAGTCACGTCAATAAATCCTAACCGTCCAATATTTAAAATCACAACCATATGTGTATATCTTCTTATTCACCTGCGTGATTAAACGACGCGTGGACTTAAATCACAAATATGATTAGTCTAGTTTTGCACTATTCTCAAAACATATCTTATTAAATTCTAATAGTACTCCGTAGAACAATAAAATAATTCAAACACTAGAAAATGCTGTGAATATACAAACGTTTGAAATCTCAAAATAGAATATTAACGCTTTTATTTTCAGGAGTAATTTCTTTAAAGTTGGAAAAAAAATGACAGAAATTGCCATGTTAAATTAAAGCTTCATAATACCAAACTTGACAGAAATTATTCCTATTTAGAGAATAAAAATATAACAGTTCTATTTTGGAATTTCAAAACCTTTTTACTCTTGTTTAGAGAATTTTCCCTTCAAACATTTTTTTATAGTGAACTACTTTAATTTTAGGAAAAAATCGGGCTTGTCATATTTGATTAGGTGTTTTGCTAGGTCATATTTACAAATTTCTCGTTTTTAAGTATATATATATGAATACTCGAATAAGTGTAAAAGTATAAAACAAGTAGTTTGGAAGAAATTTAGGAAATAAGCCAGGGTGTCATTATGATAACTGTCTTACTTCAAAGATAATTGGACCCTTATTATGTCAATATCAACGAATTCCGTGAACACATCAATTTCTTAGATTAATGAAAACAATCTTATCTCAAAACTATAAGTTGCAACTATTTTCAGCCTCAAATCAGTCACACTTAAATTGATCAGACTAAACCAGATTTCGACAGTTATAAAACACACATAAACCAAACATCTATTAAATCAGATCAAACTAGTTCACACCATTGAATTGATTAAATCAAACCAGACCAAATAATTTGTGTCCAATTAATAACATCTTAAATGTTTCTTTTTCAGGTTATGGAGAGTGAATTGTTCAGAGTTGTGAAAGAAAAATATGGTGACAAGTTTAATGCCCTTGTGGAGGAGAAGGTGTCACCGGTGGCCGGTGATATTTCCTTGAAGGATTTGGGAATTGAAAATGTTGAGCAACTCTCTAGAGAGTTAGATATTATTATTAACTCCGCTGCAACTACTGTATTTGATGAGAGGTAAGGTAGTGATTTAATACTACACAAGTACTGTCCATGAGTCAGCGACTCCACGTAGCTACATTTTTATTTTACACAATAAAGTCCTATTAACCTGTTCCAATTTGTTATTCCCTAGCTGAAATATTTATTACGCGTCACCTAATAATATTTATTACACCCAACTACAACTATAAAGATCTCATTTCCTACATGCAAAGAGTCAACCATGAAATAAAAATGGGAGAAGATTATATTTTGTTTTTAAATGGAGAGGGCGTGCTCCCGTGGGGGAAAGAAATTTATATTCTCAATTCAATATTCTATTCGGCTTTCCTAATTTATCTTTTGTATTTAATTTGTCGCAAAAAATAATTATTTTGTGACATAATTGCTTTGAGATAAGACTTATTTTAATTTTTTGTTCTATACACAAACTTGAACCACACACTTTTTACTTTCCATAATACCTAACTAATGAGTAATAAAAAAAATCATAGTAAGAACTTTTCTGTCAAAAAGATCTTAAAATAGTAAAAGAGACCTCATATATGACTAAATTTATCGGTGCATGCTACAAGACTAAAAATGGTACATACATAACTCGACTAAATTTATAATTTTCTCGTATTAGTATACGTGATGCGTATTATTGATCATGACCACAAATAATAATTAATTTAATCCGTCCAACCCTGATTTGCAAGGAATTCTCATACAACACTCCAGTTATGTATCATTCCTCCATAATTAATTTCTTGATATGACGTTACATGATATTAACGAACTACAAATAACTTTCTATTTTTTGAGTGTAACATTATTCATGTAACTCTCGTTTACCTTAATACTACTTTAATGGGAAAGTTCCCGAAATAGAGACTAAAAAAGTTAGAAAATTCCAAAATAGGACTGTCATGTTTTTATTCCCAAAATAGGACTAATTACTGTTAAATTTGAAAAATACTATCATGTTTGAAGTTTGGTACTGTCAAAACATGGCAGTAATTAGTCCTATTTTGGAAATAAAAACATGGAAGTCCTATTTTGGAATTTGCAAACTTTTTTAGTCCTATTTCAGGTAATATCTCTACTTTAATAGTAAGAAGAAATGATGAATGATGGCATAAAACTAAAATTATTTATAAAAGTGAGTTAAGTTTCATTATAATCGGGGGCGGACCCAATCCAGAGTCCCGGACCAGTTGGGTCTGGAACCAATCAATTCACAGGACCGCACTCGGATTTTTTTCAGTTTAAGCTTGGGACCGGCGCTGGACTCGGGCCCTACTGATGTCAATCCTGGTTATGATATTTAGCGACCAGAACCGTCCTGTCCCAATTCGGTCATATTCGGTCCTATTTAATATGGAGTACTACGTAATTGATAAGTGATGGCTATAATTAATTGATATATATATATATATATATATATATATATATATATATAGAGGAAACTTCATGTCAGGCCGGCCTGACGGGCTGCCCCGTCCGGCCGAGCCCGTTTGGGCACCTTCCCGGTGGAATTTTTTGATGAAATTTTTTGAGTATGTTCCTCATCAAGTCTAGTTTGTCCATACCAAATTTCAGCTCAAAATTCGATCGGGAAGGTTGTCAAATGATTTTTGCAAGTTAACTGGTCCGCAATATGTACTTTCCGGACCAGTTAACTTGCAAAAATCATTTGACGACCTTCCCGATCGAATTTTGAGTTGAAATTTGGTATGGACAAACTAGACTTGATGAGGAACATGCTCAAAAAATTTCATCAAAAAATTCCACCGGGAAGGTGCCCAAACGGGCTCGGCCGGACGGGGCAGCCCGTCAGGCCGGCCTGATGAGAAGAGCCCTCTATATATATATATATATATATATATATATATATATAGGAGGATCATTGGTAAATATAGTCTATGATATAAATATGGAATGATATAATACAATTGCATGTATGTCTAGGAGATTATTAGATTAGTATTTCCGTGTATACATGAGCGATGAAAAACATTACTTATTGGTCTAGGTCTCTAGGATATAAATGTGGGGACATAAATTGTTAATAATCTAGAAGATAAATGTGGGAAGATATAGGTTTGTAATAACAGGTGATAAATAAAAAGATAGTGGACCGGGACTGGCCGGTCGATCAGAACTGGAACCCCTTTCCCTCGTCTGGCTTGTACGAAACCGGACCGGGTCCAACCATAATTATAATCATTTAAATGTTCTTATCGATTTGTATTATATGGTTGTAGGTATGATGTTGCAATGAGTATTAATACAATGGGTGCAACAAATGTTCTGAATTTTGCCAAGAAGTGCCACAATCTTAAGATGATTGTTCACGTATCTACCGGTACGTTTCAATAAGTATTTCATTGAAAGGAATTTAAAAAAAGCTATATTGTACGGAGTATAATTTATTATTTTAAAAGTAATTGTAAATAAAGCTAAATAAAGTTGATTTATATTATTATTAATTATTACGCAGTCTTGCTATCTGATGTTAGACATAACAATTACGGTTGGCAGCTTATGTTTCTGGTGATAGACCCGGAGTAATACCAGAAAGACCATTTTATCTCGGTGAAACACTTAATAATGGGGATACTTATTTAGACATTGATGAAGAGAAAAAAGTGATTGAGGATAAGTTAATGGAGCTTCAAGCCCAAAACGCAACAGAGAAACAAGTTAAAGTGGCCATGAAAATTTTGGGGGTCCAAAGGTACGTCATAACGTGATCCAAAATTAGTTCTAGTTTTTCCTATGTTCATATTTAGAGAATTGCATGTCCTTTAATACATGTGTATGAAAATTAATTAGTTTAACTACACACGAGTGAGAATAGTTCTTGAAGCTAGCTGGAAGAGTAGAAAGATTTATTAATAATGACCAATAATTTGTGTGCAATATGTATAGGGCAAAGCTTCATGGATGGCCAAACACATATTCATTCACGAAAGCAATGGGAGAAATGTTGTTATTAAAGTTTAAGGAGAACTTATGTGTCATTATGTTACGTCCGACAATAATAACAAGCACTTTCAAAGAACCTTTTCCTGGATGGATTGAAGGCGCAAGGTGAGTAACTGTTGTCTTCTTGAAAATGTTTTTCTGTCTCAAATGGATATAATGCAAATGGATATAATGTAAGAAGTATTAATGTTTTCATATTCCCCATACTTTTATTTTACTTATTTATATATCAAAATGGCAGAACCATGGATATCTTTGTATTGATGTATGGCAAGGGAAGAGCAAATATCATGATGGGTGATCCGAACTCGATACTCGATGCGGTATGTATGCAATACGTGCATTGAATGTTAAAGGCCGTTACTTTGTGAATTGCACAAAAATACTTTCGTTGTGGATATTGAAAAATGAAAATTATAAATACCTAAAATTTGTTTCACAATCGTTTTGAAAATCGTAGCTCAATTTTTTTTAGAACATCAAGTAGTTAAAGCTGAAAGCTAATGTGCGATTACACCTCTTGGTTGAAAGCTAATGTGCAATTTAGTTTGAATGTCATTTCTTGAAGTTGGGTCTGATTAGGAATGACTGAAATGCTAGTTTGAAAAGAAGAAAACAAATCAATTGGCAAAGGAAAATACTTTAGTGATCACGAACAATTTGTGGTGTGGGAATGGGGGTTGTGTTAAAGTTATTGGCCAACATTTTCAAAATGCAACTCTAAATCTTAATATTTTCAATTCAAAATGGATTGAACTATCCCACCAAAGAAATACTAGTGAGATAGAATCATTGGTTTGAGTTTAATGAATTCTAACTTCATACAAAGGATACGAGCTAGCTTGATTACATCCTAATTTCACAATTAATATTACAATCAATTAATGGAATAATTTAATATATGCAGATTCCAGGAGATATGGTGGTGAACTCAATACTTGCGGCGGTTGAGCATCATGGAAGTAACCTTCATCATACATATACTGATGAGCAATTGGTATATCATGTTGGATCTTCTTCTACCAATCCTTTGAGAATATCGGACCTTAAGAATTATTTATATCGTTATTTTACGGATCGTCCCTGGTCAACCAAGAGTGGAGATCTTGTCCAAGTACGTGAGCCTACGTTACTTACCAGTTTGAATGAGTTACGCAGATACATTTCCATCCGTTATGTCCCAATGTTGAAGGTATGTGCCACCTATATTTATCTTATTGTCTATGAAGTAGTTAAAACTTATCTTTAGCATAATACTAGATTGTTAAATGTGAGTTTTCTTCAATTCAAATTTCTAGTTTTGAGATTTAAATTCCTTGCAAGCAAGAATTTTTTTGGTTGATATATTGATTATTCCCTTTAGCAAACGGAAAATCATTAGCAACCAATGACCTGATTTTTTTCACATAAAAAGTGTGACAAAACTAATTGTAGAATCCCATTTCCCTCTATGTTGCATGCCACATTCCTTGATAATTGTTTCAATATTGTATACCGAAGGGAAACATATCCCGCAAGTCTTCAAGCCAGATTCAACGAATCAAATCCAATTAAAAGTCTTGTATAAGAAAAGGCTATTAACTACTAGAAGTGATAAATGGTCTCCGACATGCAAGGGCAATAAGCCGGGTTCATATAAATTAGCATTATTACGAATTATTTCTTTTTCACCTAATATGGTTTTAATTTTTTTTTCGTTTTATCATTGGAACACTTAGATATTGAAGTTGTTGAACGTGGTACTTTTTCGGTATTTTGACGAAAAATGTGCAACCTTTGAGAAAAATATTAGTGTGGTGATGCGAATTGCCGAGCTCTACAGGCCATACTTGTTCTTTTATGGAAGGTACGTGTATTTAAAATGCCAGAATAAGTTTTGATGTACTTTTTTCCTACATGTTCTTTCATGTGTTATTCATTTGTTGGATGTGGAAAAGGGAGGCAAGTTTTCAACATCAATTGTAACAAGAGTACATACGTGTAGGAAAAAATGTTTTCTTATCCTTAATTAAAATACTAAAGTGGTGTTCCAGGCCATTATTTCTTTTTAAAATGAAGTGCTTGAAGTGGTGCTTAGGAGAGTGAGACAAGAGGAACAACGATTCAAAAGAAACACAAATTATTTATTTATAAGCAATTTTTTTACAATTAAGAATGAAAATTGATAAAATCTGGTGAATAGGATGGAGTACAATTCAATTTTGTTATTCATGCATATTCATTTTTTTTTCTTAATTTCTTTAACTAGCTTTCAGGCCCGTGCGATGCACGGGCAGATGTAATTTAGCTAATTTGAAATTTGATTTCTTTCGGATCATATGTAATGTGATTTAAATGAAAAATAAATTTAGTCTAATATAGAGCCTCTTTGATAATACTAAAATAAAATGAATTAACTTATTTTACTCAAATTGATTAAATTATGACTGAATGAGCTAAATGAGTGGATTCATGAAAAAATATGTAAAATATATTCCATTTGTGAAGCCAGAAAAAGATTATATGAAAAATAGTTATATTGTCTTTTACATAAGCATCTCGAGTAAATATAATTGCTATGAACCCGATTTTAAACGTTTAATATAATCTTATGAAGATGGATATTCATAGAAATTTAATACGGAGTATATATTAAGTAAAATAGTCTAAATATAGAACCTGTTTTTTTAAATTGTAAGCCTAAACGTATAAACGTATACTATAACATTTAATTGTTATAATGGAATTAAAACGTATAATTCTAACACATAATTCTAAGCCTAAACGTATACTATAACATTTAATTGTTATAGAAATTAAAACGTATTATATTTTTGGCTAAGAATACCTGTCATATATAAACTTAGCCTAAAAAAGAGCCTGTTTAATATAGTACTTTCTACGGATTTTTGTTTCCATATCAATATGCAATCAAACATAGAATCTAGCTAATAAAAATAGAAGATACAAATTAACTAAATACTTAATATATATAATGACATGACAGGATTATGTGGCGCTCTGTATGCTCTTAAAAAGTTCCTCTTTTATATATATATATTGATTCTTTACTACGCACTACTTCACATACTCAAATATTTGATTTCAGCTAACTGTCTGACCGGTTTTTGAGGCTCGTTGGGAATTAATCCATTCTTTTAGAAAAATATGTGTGTAGTGTAGTTCATTTTTCTTACATGTAAATATGTTAAAATAAATCCTATGTTGCAGCTTTGATGACACCAATACAACAAGATTGAGAATGGCTACCACCGAAACGAGCATGGCTGATATCGTAACTTTCGACCCCAGTAATATTCAATGGGAGGACTACTTCATGAATACCCACATTACAGGAGTTGTAAAATATGCATTCTAATAAATAAATGATTAGTGAAAACATATGTAATTTCGTGTCGGCAGTTGACATTTGAAGTTATTTGAAGCTATAAGATTTGATGTTTATCCTATTCTAGGGCTAAGAATTTGGTGATCTCGTGAAAAAAATGGAGTTTGATCTATCTACTTTAGTACTAATAAAGTAGAGTCATCTCAATTGAAATTGATTTGTAATTAAATTGCAATTGAGTCCAATCATTAAAATTGATGATTTTTAGATTTTGCCCACAAATTAGTATATCTAACACTTATGGAATGCCTTAACATCTAATGCAACTTTGTAGCTAGCATGTAGGAGTAATTATAGGTATACTTCAAAGGCTCATACGTATATAGTCCTAACATTTAGGAAGTGTCCAACTAATTTGCCTAAATGATGCTAATTTAAAATGCGTGTAGTCCTAACATTAATGATCATTAGAATTTTTTATGTAATTTCATATTCTGTATATCATATCATATATATATATATATCTAATGAAATTACATATCTAAAACAAAAATGTTTAACTACAGTAACGAAATATTATTAGTTTTAAAATTACTAGATTTGAATTAGAAGATTAAACCTAAGAAGTTATAGAATATTGATACGAGTTGTAGCTAGTATGCACATGAAAAGAGTTTTTTATAGCAATTCAAATAAAATATGTCATAAAAGTAAGTGATAAATTTTTTAAATCCAAAACACAAAGAAACTTAACTTAAAAGGGGTTTTCATTGATATAAAATCATGGACAAAATATTACTCAGTACTATCTTTGTCCTATTGAAAGGTTTCCATGACAAAACAACAAAGTTATTTATATATTAATTACAAAAGATTATTCGAGTATATTTTGAGAAATAATTTTGACAGGTATATAATATAGTGGGATTAGTGTTGATAAATGTGATGTAATTGATTACGGAGTATTATTTATAATACTTAATGATTAAATTGTCATTCGATATTTTTAATCGTTTCCGAAAATAGAAATGTCAACCTTTATATGGAGTGTCCAAAAAAAGAATTCTCTCTCATATGTAGTGCTTTTAAGTATAAGGTAAGCGGAGTAAGGATGTTTTCTTTTGGACTGTTTTCTGTCCCAGACCAGACCAGACTTAAACAGACTAGACTTAAACAGACCAGACCAGAGTTCCGTAGTTATAAAATACACAGAAACCAGACGTTTACCAGAACAGACCAGACCAGACCAAACTTAAACAGACCAGACCAGACAAGCAAATTTCAGTCCAAAAGAAAACATCCTAACAATTGAGCGGGATAATTTTCTCTCTCATATATAGCACTTTTAGGTATAAGATAAGATAAACAGATCAATAATTGAGATGTAGAATTTTATCTCTCATATGTAATAATGCTTTTCCATAGAAGATATGAGGATTAATAATTAGGCGGCCGCGGGCAAATTTTTTCTTTTATATGTAGTATTTTTAGGTATAAGAAGATTAATAGACTAATAATTGAGCGAAAAAATTTTCTCTGTCATATGTAGTCTTTTTGGATATAAGACAAGTGGACTAATAGTTGAACGAGAGAATTTTCTCTCTCATATGAAGTGCTTTTAATTATATAAGAATATAAGAAGATAAGAAGATAAACGGATTAAAAATTGAGCGAGTGATTTCTCTCTCTCTCTCTCCCTCTCTTATGTAGTGTTTTTAGCTATACGATCGAAGATAAGCGTGCTAATAGTTAAGCGAGATATTTTTCTCTCTCATATGCAGTGTTTTAAAGTACGGAGTATAAAATAAGATAATCGGGCTAAAAATTGAGCGGGATATTTTTTCTCTCATATATAGTGCTTTTAGATAATACCTCTATCCCGTTTAAAGGTTCTCATGACAAAATGACACGATTATTTAGACAATAATTAAATATGTTAATTCGAGTATATTTTGATAAAATAATTTTGATGAGTATATAATATATTGGGCCATTGATGATAATTGTGATGTTGTAAATATATTATTTTTAATCATTGACGAGTAAATGATTATTTAAGAGTGTTAATTGTTTCATAGAATAGAAAATGTGAATCTTTAAGTGGGACGTCCAAAAAAGCAGATTAATAATTGATCGGAAGAATTCCCCTCTCATAGTTTCTCTCTCACGGCATTTTAAACTTATGGGGAGACTTTTTTCTATAATTGTCACCTATGTTATGACAATCAATAATTATCAAGCTCTATCATTGGGAAAAAATGAAATATTCCTACCTAGACACATTTTAATCCTATAAAGCTTTATATATGTGGTATTATTGAGGGTTTAGAAAACATGAATTAATGGTTTTAATATATGATAAGAAAATAAATCATTAGACATTATCATTAAAAGTTCTCTTTAAAATGCTTTTTCAAAACTCTAACAATTAAATTTAATATTTCATAATCCGTTACCAACAATAATAATTATTATTACGTAAAAATTCTAATAGATGGTGTCGATTTGTTTTTTTACTTTAGTTTTCTTTCACTTCGAATATTTATTGTGTGTATTTATAGTTTTTTATATTCACTTATTGTACTCCATTTTTTAAATGATGTAAAATTGTAAACAAAACTATTTTTATATTTAATCACATCGTGAATAAAAATATATATGCATCAACTGTTTTTTCACGTGCGTATGCACGAGTACTGTGCGAGAGAAAGTCGAATGGCAACTTCTACGAATTCCTCGAGATGTCGTACGTGGTCTATTCGACGGAATACACGTCGATTCTAAAACATTTCTAAAAATGTTAGGTGGTATAATATGATGTTGCATTTATCTCACTTGTGGGAAGAGTTGACAAGACCAACAACACTGGTAGAGCTTTGTGATGAGCATCAACAAGAGCCAATGTCAGTATATATCTCAGGTCAGACTATATCTCGAGAAAAATGTGTTCACTCATGGTCAATTATATGTTGCCATATAGAATCAATAGCAAAGAAGGATTGGAGATTTTGATTCGTTCTAAAGATTAGTGACTTTCCTCCAATGTCATAAATGTTGTCTATAGAGAGGTTTACCAGAATTTAGAAGCATAGCCTTTCAATTTTTTATACCATTTAGTTATTCTAATATCTTATGAATCTCAACTTTATATGAAGTATAATATTACTCCGTATATCAAATTAATACATATTTCAATGCTTTTGTCAATGAGATTTAAAAAATTCATATATACGAAAGATATATCTCACATATGCAAAGAATTATTAACTAAATATTCCATATAGGAGTTGCACACTTGCACCCGGGGCAACGCCCGGATACAAAACTAGTTAACGTTAATATTTACCACATATTCACTCATGCATTGCAAAACGTGAAATTATTAATTATTGTATCATACTCAAATTAAAGACGGTAAATATTATAATATAAATAATGACTTTTTTTAACCATATAAATAATGTCTTTGACTAGCGTCAATGAAAATAAAATAAAAACTACAAATTGCAACAAGGAAACCTCATAGAAAGTTCATTTTTAGTTAGTTGATCGAAATAAACAATAAGAGCATCTCCAATGCTACAATGTGCACGGTGCATATGTGGCATGAGAGAGATGGACACAAAAAATTGAATCTATGACATTTCTCTCACATTCTTTCCACGATTTTATTTGTTTTTGGTAAGTTCCCCCCTGCAATGTCAAGCACAATGTCTACATCTAGACATTGTGCTTGACATTGTGAAAAAAAACTTACCAAAATGATACAAGATCCTTCAAATAAGGAGAGAGATATTCTTTTTATTATTTTTTAATTGACTATCTCTCATGCCACGTATGCACTATTCACATTTTAGCATTGGAGATGCTCTAAAGAGTTAATATTGAAGATGTTAATATTGAAACTGCAACGTTTATGTACATCCAAATGTAACTCTCAAATTTTTCAAGCTGCTATGGCAAGAAAAACACGCACAGTCACCATTTTAGCAACTGGAGCAAATGTTTCTGTATAATCCAGACTAGCTATCTGTCTATTCCCAAAAATGACAAGACGAGCTTTGAGGCATTCAACACTGCCATTAGATTTGTGCTTAACTTTATAAACCTAGTGACAACCCAAGGCACGTTTTCCGGGAGGCAGAGGAACAAGACTCCAAGTGGAATTATTTTCAAGTGCTTGTATCTCGGCCCGCATGGCATTGCGCCGTCCGTCATGTTTAACCGCATCATGAAATGACCGGGGCGGCTCCGTAATAAAATTAAGAGCTGCCAAGTAAGCCTGATGTTTCGCAGAAAAAGAATCACAAGTAACATAATGAGTTATAGGAAACGGTTCATCCATGTTAAGGTATAGGGTTTCATCCTAAAAGGTCAACTTGACAGAAGGAGTAGCCGAGATCTTAATAGTGTTTTTTTCTTTCAAAGATATCGGGTGTGAGAATTTCACGCCCATCCTCGATCACTACCAGACACTTCAATTCGTCTGGATCGTGCCGTCATTCATTTTTCATCGGTTCGTCATTGTCATTTTTGTATAATCGTGTCATCATTTTTCATAAGGGGACCCACACCACACACCATGAATCGATTTGACGCTGATAACATATTATTTTTTGTTATGATATGCGCAGTATGCTAATAGGAAAAAAGAGATAAGAGGCAAAATTCCTTCTTGTTTATTCATGTACTGATCAGCTAAATAAATACTACATACAAAGAAAATGCCGATCAAAATTGATCGGTCAACCCTAAAAATAGGCTAAAGAATAACAGCCCATCATTAGAAAAAATCCTACCTATAAATAAATGATATCCTTAAATAATATCTCCTAAAATATCTCCCAATAGTAATTAGATATTTATTTATGACATAAATAAACAACTTAACACTGGGAATTGTTACGTTGGTGTTAAAAATGTAAACAGAAGTTTTATGTTTAATGAGGTGACCTTTGAGTTTGCAATCGAAGTATCCGAAGTACTATCTATGAGGCCGTTTGGCAA